CATTGATTTCGTATGATAGAGTATATAGCTGTACTGGAGTGACTGGCTTTCACTTCAGAACTGGTTTTGGTTCATACTAACAGCAATACCAGGAAAGTGTGGAAGAGAGGGATTACCTGTACCAACAATCAAATTGTGAGAGTTTATGCCTGAGGAGTCTGGAAGTAATTTTAGAGATGGTTTAAATAAATCACCAAGGTAAATGAAAAGTTTATGAAGTGGCAATGATAGGCGGTTTCGTGAGGCTTAAAGAAGTAATTAAGCAAACAGAATTAAGACACTGTAATGCTATATTTGCCATGTTATTTGCAATATAATCTTTTGGTGTGCAAAAATACTGAATTCTTTTACAGTGGAGACCCATCGAAATACAAGCACATAGCTAAGTGTTGCTAGGGTAGAGGAAAAACAAGTAGACATAATTGGTTTTGATCTTAGTGGTTTCAAATGGATTTAAGCAAAAGACTAATGAAAAGTAGACAGCTAATCTGATAATGGGATTTACCTAAATGAGTACAGACTAATTAATTAACAATAACAGTAATGCAGTAAGATAAAAATTGCTTTCTCCATCTTGCATTAAAATTTGTGTTATCTAAAATTGCCATGTGTGGGGGTTCTTATTTCCCACCCTATGCACGATCCACATTACTCACTAAGGCTTAAAACTCCACAGACATCAACAGAGGTCGATCATCGCCCATAGATTTGCATCTACGTTCAGGATTTCTTGCAGTAGTTGTCAACCCGTTTCTGTATTGTACAAAGGACAGAAGAACGAGACTTCACTAAAAGACATCTCAAAGACTGTGTTGGAGGCTCAGGAGAAAGAGGTCAGGTACACAAGAATAGCCTACACATGCTTAAGAGTAATTTAAGCGCATAGTGTTACTTAAGTCAGGATGTACCACTTAATGTTTATTTTGAAGCCACTGAACATCCAACCCATTAAAAAAAAAAATGCTTGAAAGAATGTTAGTAAAACTGCAGTCTGCATCTTATTAAAAATGTGCTTATAACTGCGGACAAGAAATGTGGGAAAAGTGGACAGATTCTTCAAAGGCACAAGATGCAGTTAATCAGTCATCTCCTTTGCTGAGTCATCTGCTCTGGTATTTTAGTTACTTACCCGATAAGTGAACTGCTTGGTTGAGTGGAGGAAAGATGTTAGATGTTAGTGGGAGGGCCAGAGAGAAAAGGCAGCTGAAGCTGGAGACTTGTGAGGGAGAAGTAGTGGCTGGTTGGTAGAAGAAACCAGAGAAGGCTTTTAGTCTGGTTTAAGGTTTCGTAAAAGTCAGTTATGAAAGCACCCTTGCAGTTAGCAGTTTGTGCCCTATCAGGCTGATCACTTTACCCTGGAGCAGTATTTCTGTTTGCACTCTTCTCTGTTTGTTTTTGTGTTGTGTTTTTTTGTTTTTTGGTTTTTTTTTCCTTCTTGGTGATGAAGGAGCCATTTGCAGATCATATTCTGACGTACAGTCCTACAATCTAAACAACAGAGAAGAAGCTGGGTATGTATGTCCTTCCCGCCTTTCTCTCCCATAGAGTGGAGAATAGCTTTAGGCAGATGTGACTGATGTAATTGCACCAGCACCCATTCTCCAAGGGAGCTTGACTTTTCTGGACCTCTCCCAAGCCTGGTTGATTTTGCAGTAATTTACAGGCTGTATGTAAAATTGTACAGTGCTTTAGAAGGAAGATGAGGCTTTTAATTTACCTTGTGTCATGCAAAGCGTAGGAGTCTTTGAATAGATTAAATTATCAAATACTGTGTTTTGGCTCATAGAAGACAGTGATATTTATTTGCGGAATAAAACAGGCTTTTTCAAGGAAACGTTTCTTGAGCCTCTTACTTCTTTAGTAGATTAGGAGATTCCACGGGCCCTAACACATGATTTTCCAAAAATATTTTAGTTAATTAGTCATGTGTCCCATTAGCATAGTAAAAACCTATGTTAGTGTGACCTAGCAGAGATTTTATCAAACCCATCGAGTGTAAAAGAAGAATGTCTTCTTTAGTGTGCAGCAGTTGGACAGAGTGATTCCACATTCTTTATCGCCACTCAGTGACCTGTCGTGGCGTTGGACAGTGCAGAGATTGCATCCCACCGTTTTTAGCCATACAGGGCCAACCCAGTGAGTGCCAGGGACATACTGGGAGCTTGCAGATTGCCAGAATAAAAAAACCTGGTTGGAAGGAACAGCCCTCATAATCTTGTTGAGTGCTTTCTTCTTTCCCTTGGTTTTAAACCCTTGACCTACTATAAAAAAATGAGGTGGGGTGCTCCCATATTAAGGTGAAATTATCCTGGGTAGGATTCCTGAGCCAGTGCTGAGTTGGCTGCTCTGCTTATATAAAGCAGCACAGTTCTGTGCAAAGAGGCTTAATGGTGTCCCCAAAGCAGAACGTTAGTGCCAGGCTGTACCACAGCTAGCAAGCCCTGCCCTGTCACTCCGAGTTCAACTGGTTTGGCAGGGCTAATGTTTGAGCTGGGCATTGCTCACTGCTTGCAGTTACAGAGCTAACTCAGAGGTAACGCAAAGGACATGGAGTTACCTCCAGAGTTAGTTTTGCCCTTGGTAATTTTTATCCAAAAAAGAGCAACAATTCATGTGTCCATGCAAAATTCGGTTAAGGAATACTTATTTAATTTGTGGTAATTCATAAAAGCCCCACGCATCCCTTGGATTTTGTGCTCTACGGGAAACAGGACATGTCCTAAACAGTATAAATATTCTGTTATCTCAACATATTCTAATGGGTATCCTTTTTGCTTCCCATTCCTGTCTCAAAACTGAGTATTTCGGTTTGAAATTTTTTATGGTAGACATATCAGTGATATTTTTGTTTCTGAAAATGCTCATCTTGGAGAAATAGTTAAGATAAAATACCCCCAAACTCTACCATAAAGACCTATATTTCTCTCACTGTACCATTTTGCTGTAGAACATTTTGTACATTATGTGTTCATGAGGGGTTGAGGCATTATCAGGGTTGGAAAGGAATTAGTTTCTTAGTATACGTTGTCTGGTTGTGGATTCTGTTCTCGATCACTTTTATCTATAAATGACAACAGCTTTTTCAAAAATGTAAATGTTTACTTGCAGTTTTGCAAATCAGGTTTGTGTGACTCTTGCTGCTTTGGTTTTGGTTGAGTTAAGCTAATCGTGTGTCACCATGCAAACCTTTAGTTTGAGATTACTAATTCTAACTAATCAACAGTAAGGTACTAGAAGAGCAAGAAGAGAGGAAGAGGCAAAAAATGAAGGAACAAATTCCAATAGTCAAATGCTGGGCTAGCGCAGAAGTTTGCGTATGTGGCCCATGTATATATAAATATCATAAAGATATTCAGCGTAGTACATGCATTGAGTCTAGAGATGTGCAGTAGTTCACATTGAGGTAACAGCTATTACGGTTGCCTAATGACTTACAAAAAATAATATGAAAAAAAGCTTCCTTGATGAACTCAAACATACTTCATGCATCATAAGAAATGGTGTTTAATATGTAATTCCTTTGATCTATATTGCTAGATGGTGCTGCATATTTGTGAATGATTTTTGTCTCGTACGTATATGTGAATACACACACGCAGTCATAGGTATGCATATATAGGTACATGTATGTGTTTGTATACACAAATGTATATACAGGTTGTGTGCACATATATATACACACATATACACATATATAGGCAAAATATATGGAAACGTGCACAAAGATGTTTACATACAACAGGATGCATAGCTGCTAAGTAAAGTCAAATTTTACTGATTGTCATGATAAGGAGCTTCAGCCAGTGTCTTTTAAAGTCAATGGGCATCCTTTGACTGCAGATGTGTGTGCAGAACAGATGAATTATAAGTGAGCGGTGAAAAAATGAGCATGCAGTGAAGGTACAGATGTTGAAAATTAAACTGAAAGTGATAACTTAAAATGAGAGTGAAGTTGGTTAATTGTAAGTCTGCCATGTTGTGATGAAGAGCAGGTTGGTGGATTTGTCTTTATAGCTCAGCTGATGTATGTCAGAGTTTTTCCATTATCTACAGCTGCATCAGGTTATACCTACTGACAAATTTGATGTTTATTTTTTAACACGGTTAGAATGAAAAACAAATTCTTCTTTCTTTCCCTGTAAAATGCACTCTTTGATGATGCTTTGATGGATTCTGAAATTCTTGCTTGAAGTTAATTGTCAGCTTTTAAGCTTGTCTATGTGCTTGCACTTCTCTTTGACTGTTGATTACTTCTCTTGCCCAAGCTAAATACCAGCTAAGAGAATAGCTTTTTGTGTATGTTATCACAGGTGGGAGATAGAACAGCTAAAGCTTTTGATTTGCTTTCCAAGCATAATTGGTACGTTACAGAGATGTAGCATATCTCATGTTGTTTTCCTGTATAAATTTTAACACATACGCTGTTATTATGGCTTTTCAAAAACATGAAACAGCTTGTCCTTTAGTCAATCTTGGTCTAAACACAACGTCGTCGTAAGGAGGGGATGGGATGTGTCAGAAAAGAGGCTCTGCCTGTGTACTCTCTGAACAGTCTGGTGGAGTGGGATTAGCAAGTTGAGGGAGATAAGATGCATGTCGTCCACGGACCTGTGGAGGTCTGCACGTCTGACTGACTGTGCGGGGAAAGGAATGATGTGACGACCGAGTACTGTACAAAGAAAGCAAACCGGGAAAAGCAGACAAGGGCCTTTTTTTCCTGCTTTGTGCTTTTGGTTACTGGAATCCTAATGTTTTTGCAACAATACTTGGTTAAATGGTTTCAGACAGAACTGACTTTTTGTTTTGCATGTGTGTACTCCTTTTAAGGAATGCTGCTCTTAGGGAAACAAAGATATTTGAAAGGCTAGAGATGTCCAAAAAAATGGCCTTTCAGAAAAGGGGACCTGTGTTGTTTTTCCTAGCGGTAAAAGAGATGGTTCTGTTTATTAAACTGTGCATACCATATGATGCTTCATATTTTTCCATTTGATTTCCTGCAGGGTGATTTCACTTGGAACAGCATGTCAGGGCGCAGTGTTCGGCTGAAGTCAGTTCCCGTTCAAAGCCTCTCGGAGCTGGAGCGTGCTCGGCTGCAGGAAGTGGCTTTTTATCAGTTGCAGCAGGACTGTGACCTGGGCTGTCAGATTACTATCCCCAAAGGTAAGGGCTTGATAAACCGTCTCTGTTTAGATTGCTAAGCCACTGACTTCATATCACAGCAATAAAAGGGAGAAAACACCAGGTTGTTTATTCCACAGACATTTTCTTCTGTTTCATTTTTGCTTAAACATAGTAACTATGTAAAAACGACTAGTAATGTTTGTCTACTATGTCCAATGCAGGCCACCTGGAGTGGGATCATCTGATCAAGGACAGCTGTCACCAGGGTAGATAATCTAAATCAGACCTATTCATGCTAGGATCTCTTGATACTCAGCTGAGAGAAAAAGGCTTTTCTTACACTTCCTGACATCCAAAAGTATACATCTCTGTAGGTCAGATAGCTCATACCGTAGAAGTAGCTTTTTCACTCTGTATTGTATTGGCTCTGGAGGAAGCCAAGCATCACTAGTCAGACAGACAGTGAAGACATCTGCGTCAAATAAGACGAATCCTACTCAAGTTTTTCTAAAGACAGTGGTGATTATTTCCTAGAAAACAAGTTAATTTTCAGTGTAAAACACTGAACTCCTAAGGAAGAGGATATTAATTGAAAAGGAGAAGCTCAGCTATCAGAATCCTGATGCAGGATACGCGCACGTAGTAGACCTGTACTTAGGTTACTGCAGAAGAGATCTAAACCTCCCTAAAACTAATGTGAAAGTTTCCATTGTTTCCTGTAGGCTGGAGATCACGCTTAGCAAAGACAGCTACTGTCCTATGATACAATCATCTGCAAATCTGGCTTTCCTGTTGTTTCTTTCCAGTTGTCGTATACTTATTTAAGGAATAACAAGGGACCCACTGAATTCTCACCTTTGGCTATGAGCAGAGGTACTGTGTGGCAGCACATACACAGTTTTTGAATGAATCAAAGTTAAGCAGAAAAAAGTTGTCTAGTCAATGAAAATAATGGTGTGGAGAAGAACAAATGTGAAAGACATCAGCTTGGGTATTCATCAACTTCTTAGGATCTGCAGAAAACTCCTGCCAAAAACAACAAAGTCCAAGTTACCAATTACATCAGGGCATCCGTATGTAGTGAGATGGATACGATCAACAATTTCAAGCTCCATCACAGCTCTCCTGGTCCCTCAAAAAATGCTCCATCAATATGAAAACAATTTTACAGGACGTTCATATGAGGAACTGGATCACTAAAGGCACTGCAATATTTTCTGGCAGTCTGAGCTGTGGGAGATGAATATACTTATATAGAGGTAATACCATCCAAGACAATAGAGTATACATATTCATATTCAGAAACTTTGAGCTTCGGAGAGTGAATACTATTTTTGTGTTCTCCTTGCTGTTTCCTGCTGGGACTGCCATGAAAGGTCAACCATCTGGGAAAGCCAGGGTCTCTTCCCCATCAATCCACCCTTCCTCTGCAAGATGCTTTGGAGTCATAGGCAACTTAGCACAGTGCTGCCAGGGCTTGCAGCCTAGGAACTGTTGAATCTTTCAGGTTCAGATCACACACAAGAACAGTTTTTATTTTCACAGCATATATATACGTGGCTAAATATATAATGCGTAATTAATTTTAGACGTACTGAGTCTGAAAAGTATGATTTCATGCATAAAAACTAAATAAGAATAATACAAACTTTGGTGAAGCATCTTAAAATAAATGTCACTTCACAAACTCAGGAACCCGGGTTTCAGTTTCATCTCTATGGCTGGCCCCATCATTTCATGTGTCTTTTGCTTCAGTTTAGATGAGAAAACTCCACCACAACCATTTGTGCCTCAGGTTAAAAACACACTGAAGGCTGTTAAACAACTTCATTTTTTTTTTTTTTTTTTTTAAAAAAAAAAAAAGTGATGTGTAGAGCTGGGGGAGCTCTCTAGGTCTGGAGAGATCGAGGCACAGAAAGATGTGCTCTACAGCTTCTACTTCAGAGAATGCTGCATGAAAATACTCAGGAGCAGAGGTTAGTGGGATAATGTATGTATTAGAAAATACAGAAAGCAGTTTTAAAAGTTGGGACTCTTTGTGGTTCTTTGAGTGTTCTTCAACACTTGCGAATGACTGACATTAGAACATGCTTGTGCCTGCTGGGCATTTGCCTCCTGCAGACATTTGAGTAATTACATTTACTGGCACAGGTATTGCGGAAAGTAAAAATACATTGTTCTTGGCTACAAGTGTTTGTGCCAAACGTGCTTGCCTGGAAGTTAAGTCAGAGTGCAGAAGCATCTGCCGTGTCTTTACGATCACAGTTATGCCACTATTGGTTGCTTCTTCACAATGTTTCTGTCCTCCCATGCTCAGAAGCCCCCTTTGTCACAGCAAGTGCAGTTAGTTAGCACTTTTAGGGCACATCTGGCTATTCCCATGCTTGTAGAGAAATGCGTAGAATGTGATACCTCATAGGTATCTCATAGGTACCTCTCCTCTGCTGTACTGCAGCCATTACCATTAATGAAGTGCATTACTGACATCTCTTAGTTAAATATCGTGTGGTCACAGAGAGGGGACCACCTCCCACAGGAATTTATGTAACCAGCACATCATTTAAAATACGCTACAATTGCACTGCAGCAGGCAATTAAATGAATTCAAATTCATCGAGAGTTATTAATTTTATATGTATGACAGGTTTCTTTCTTGTTCTCTGGTTTTTCTGCCTCGTATCTGTCTTTCAGATTCTGTAATCAACATCTTTCTCAGCTCCCAGGTCACTCCCTCATCTGCCACCAGTAACTATAGCAGGAATCGTTTATACTGCCTCTAGGTTAACGTGTTAAGTTGCAAGAGGCTATCATTTCCAAGCAGAACATTACACAGTTTCTCTAGCAACGCAATTACTCTGTGAAAGATTTTTAATTTGTTGCCTGATGTTCTGAACGGCACAAGAGTATGATTCTGGTGAAACTTCTTTACAGCTGCTGTTTAGAACATACTGTGTTTTTCTCAATTTCAAGGAAGTCAATCTTTTTTTTATAAAGGGAGAAAAAAAAACCTGTGATGAAATTCACTTTAGATACATCTTGGTGACTTTCCAATTATGTATGTCTTTGTATGCAAGTAGTGAGAAAAAAATGAACCTTTTACACCATGTCTTCACAAAAAAAAATGGTAACTCAAGTCAGGTAGGTTTTTCAAAGTAAAACCAGGATCAAAGCAGGAGAGGAGCTCCTTTTCTTCGCCTCTGTTCAGAGGCTTCAGGTAGCTCTTGAACAGAAGAGGTATTGAATGAGGCTTTTTTGGAGCAGTTTCCTAAATACCTCATGGTTATAACTCTCCTTTCTTTCACAGTCCTGTCCCACTTCACAGAGCCTGTGTTTGGGAGCACTGGTAGGCACTGCAGGGCTTTGTCAGTTAGAGCAAATGAGGAATTAGGGCTCCAGCCCTAATTCAACTCCTCAAGCATCTGGCTGGGTTTTAAGGTACAATGTGAACCTATCAGTAGGGACTTGAATAGAATTTGGGAGTTGGGGGTCACAGTTGCAGTTTTCACCTCTCTTTATTCAACAGGAGACTGTGACTGCTCATGTTCTCACCAGCCCCCAACAGGATGCACTGCTGTCTTCCCAGCTTTGGAACGGGGCTGGAGGAGTTGTGGAGGGAAAGGATAAATGAGGAAAAAAAGAAATGCTCAATGCTTGTTCTGAGTATTGCTCAGATAGGTGGGCATTTATCAGTAGGGCATGCAAACATAAATGGCTGAGCTGCTTTTTGTGGTTGCTCATTAAGAAGATAAGTAAGGGGGAGATACCTGGATAATTAGGAAGTAATGAAGCTCATATAAATACAAGTGCAGAAAAAGGAAAAGAGAAGATGAGAGGATCGCTAGAAAATAAATGCTGTCTGCAAACTGCTGAATCTGCATGACCTATATTCTGAGGCATCTATAGGCACTGACTTCTTGTTGTTGTGAAAGTTGGGGAAATACCTATCGAGAAATGGGAAAAATATGTAGGTACTACCAGTGTTCAGAGAAGTGGACATGCTGTAGCTGAATTGCTATAGAAAGCTTGAGCATCCCACGAAAGTCCTCAAAAGTATTATTTGAAATTGACTTAGAGATGATTTAGCACGTGATCAAGCTCATCAGACTGTAAGCTGACGAAAGACTTGTAAACAGTGTCTCATGCTAAATGGCGGTGCATCTCAGTGAAAATAAGGGCCAAACTGGATACTCGGCAGATATTTTAGAAGTTTGTAATTCTGTCTGTTCGCTTCTTTTTTCTTTGACCTAGCAAATTGTACAGCTTGAACTATTGGGCCTGAATTTCTCATATACTAATTTCTCATTTCTTCTTTGAAAACTCATGTGTTGGAAGGGAAAGACAATGCAGGGATGTGGATGCAGGAAGAATAGTTAGGATCTGTGCATCTTTTAGGCCCAGCTCCCTAGAGTGCTCCCTAGTGTGTCCTGGGGCTGCCATGTGCCACAGAGCCAGCCCCTCCTCTCCTCTGTGAAAGAGGCCTCTCTGCTGTCATTAAAATCGTGTGATAACCACTGTCTGCTGAGTCCAGCTATCTTTGTTAATCCTACAGGTTGGATGAAGCACTGACTTTTCATCTGAGTTTTGATCTCTGATGGTGTTGATGTTCATGATAGCTACCACACTCCTGAGAAACTTTTGTTGATCTCAGTAGTGCAGAAGCATAGGAGCAATATATGTTTTCTCATACATTTGTTTGCCTGAACAATGACAAGCAGGAGTTTGGACAATATCTCTAGTAACTCAGATAGAAATGGCATCTTCGCTTCTGATCTTCTTGACAGCAAGTTTTTGACTTCTGATCTACCTCTATGTGTAGAAATGGCCACATTCAAATCCCCATATGTCAACGATGTTTTGTGTTTTATGGATTTTCTTACTTGTCGTCGCTTTGTCCCTTGTGACAGCACAAGTGTTTTCTTCGTAGTGTCAACAAAGAATAATGAAAACGGTTTATGTTTTCACATGAATAAATCTCTTAGAGTTGCCCGGTTATATTTCTCACTGGTGATACTGTCCGATGCTGTAGCCACACAAGCGAC